GCTCCTTGGGAGTGGTGGGTGAAGGCTCCTTGGGAGTGGTGGGTGCAGGCTCCTTGGGGGTAGTTGGGGCAGGTTCTTTGGGAGTAGTTGGTGCAGGCTTCTTGGTGGTGGTGGGTGCAGGCTGCTTGGGAGTGGCGGGTGCAGACTCCTTGGAGATGGTGAGAGCAGGGCCTTTGGTTGTAGTTTCAGCTTTGAGTGTAGGTGTAGCCGGCACTTTAGATGTAGGTGCTAAATCTTTAGCAGATGTTTTCTCTACACTTTTTGTCTCTTTAGCTGCAGTGGTCTTCTCTTTTGCATCAGTTGAAGTCTGTTTGTTTGTTTTAGTAGTTTCGTTAGTTTCAACTGTTGTCTCTTTATTGGCTGTCAAAGATGTCTCTTTAGATGTATCAGGATTAGGTGGAAGACTGGGTCTGGGATTTATTGGTTTTGCTGTTGTAGTCTTGGGCGATGTGGTGACTTTATTGTGCTGGGTGGTAGGCGTGTCAGGAGTTGTGGTGACCTTGAAGTCATCATTGTCCAATCCACTTCCAGCTTCATCTTCAACTGGTGGTTTGGGGGCATGGGTCTTTTTAGCTCTGTTCTTCTTATTATCTTTTACTAGAGAAAAAATATGCATCTTATTACTATAAAATAGTTTTTTTTCTTTAATAGTGACATAAAGATCCCATCTTTATCACTGACTAGCTGTGTTTCTAAGCAAATTGCTAACCTCTACTGTGTCCTTTAATTTGTTGTAAAATGGTAAATACTCAACCTATCTTACTGTGTGGTTTTAGGGAATGAATGAGATAAGGGATGAAAAAGCACAAATTAAACCCTATACAATTAATACATGGAAGTCAGTGGCAACTTTGAAATTACCAGCATGATAAATAACACTAGTTCATCTGTTTATATTAATGTTCTTTACCCCTCACTTTTCCTGTTGTTATTCCTCAGTGCCCAGTGCCCCTTCCTTCCTCCTGGAAACCTAGTACTGCCATCTCGCTTCACCAGTTACCTCAGAGGCCTCTACAGCTACCTCTGAGCAATCTGCCCCAGTCACCCCGCAGTCCCTGCTGAGCCTCGTTCCCATGCATAGGGCTATTAGCCACTCCTTTTCCACTGCCCAGCTAAACTTGCAAGTCCCAGGGGACATAAGGAGGAGATTAGGGTGCCATGGCAGCCAAAAGACAATATTTATCAAGGCTTTTCCATAACAGCTACCCCACAGGTGAACTGCAGAGCCCCAGGGTGGATTTGTGCACGATTAAATATCTGGCTATTTATCTAGAGAGAATGCTTCAGAGAAAATCACAACCATTTGAGTTCTTTAAAACTCCTGTATCCAAAAATCCAGTATTTTCTAGAGAAAGAATATATTTTAGAACCAGAACTTAAGGAAATAATAAAGAGCAAAGGAAATCTCTTTTGGGGCAATAACAGCCTACTCTATAGCAGCCTCTACTAGAGAAAAATCAGCCAGATATGATACATAAGTTATGAGGAAAATAAAGAGGATTTATAAAATATGGATGGTAATAATTTTTCCACAGGGGTTTATAAGAATTTAATGGATTAATACTTGTAAAACACTTAGAACGATAGTATATAAATGTTTGTTACAATAAAGCTGGGGAAGGAAAATGAAAATGCAAGGAAGATGAAGGGGAAGAAGCAAAATGATATCAAGTAAACAAGAATGACAGTAGAACACCATAAATAATCATCTCTGGTGCCATCCTGTGGTTCCAAGTCACTGCTTCAGGATCTTCTTATCCTTTGCTTTTAAGAGTGGCTTCTTAGCTGCTTGGCACTAATTTCCTGTAGGAGGTATTCATTTGGTACTTTCTAAGATAATATTTATAAAGTTATATCTCCCTCCCCCCATATGGAGATGTCCTCGTTCTACCAACACACAATACTTTTAAATAATCATTGTTAGTATGGCATTGATATAGTCTTTGATCTTTATCAATGCTCAAACCTTTGGGTTTCTTCTGTAATTCTCTATTAGCAGCTGAATTTTTGGAAGACTTGATTTTCCGAATAGTTGAAGAAGAAGAGGAAGAGGAGGAGGAGGAGGAGGACTCTTGATTTTCAGAAACAGAATGTTCTATAAATCAAATAGAAAGTTTGATCACACCAACTGTGATTTAAAACAAAAAAGAACCACCAGTCCAAACACAGCAAGAAGTGCTATTTACTAATCTACAAGTATCTGGGTTCTGCTTTTATAGTAATATGATCAATTGCCTTTTCATTTGTCAGTTAAAAACAAGGCACCTGGGCTTATCACAGATACTAGCAGTATTACTAGTACCTCTCAACCTTCCCATATCCTCCAAAACACAGAATCTAATTATTCTGCAAAGAAAATCATGGGGTGGTTTTTGTTTTTTATAATAAGATTTGTCTCTTTTGATTTGTTTTAACCCAGACTCATGCTGGGTTTGGTAAATAGAGGAAGACTATAAATAACCTGAGAGTTTATACTTTGTCTTAAACTTTACTTAAAAGCAAAGTCAAAAAACTTCAAGTGTAATGAGCTTCATGATTCCTAAGATTACCCTGTTCTCTGAGAACAGGCTTAGATAAGCAGTCACCTACAAGTTACTTCATCTAAGAAAGCTCCTTTGGTTATATCTGTCATCTTCCTACCTTCTGTTATCTCCTCTGATTCTACAACTTTCTTAGTCTTCTTCTTGTTTGGTGGTTTGGGTGAACGTTTGGTTGTTGATTTGATGGTTTGAGATGCTCCTGGAGCTGGAGGTGCTTTCTTTGAAGATGGTGGTGATGTGGGATTATGCACTGAGGCCAAGCAAGACAAGTCGGTTAACATCTTGTTTATATTCATCAGCAGCTCTAACTGTGAAAAACACGGATGCATCTAGCTTCAAGAGCAGATGCTGGTGACAGCCAGTGCAGGCAGGCTCCAGCCCAACATGAATGACTCCATTTAATTCTAAGGATGCATTGCTATAAAATATTGATTCTCAAATGGTAAGTTATGACAGGGAGCAAAGTCTCAGGAATCAGAAGACCTGAATTCCAGTCCTAGGCCTGCGGGCCTCTACCATTGTGACCTTAGGCAAATAATTCTCTTGAACTTCATCTTATTCTCTACAAACTCAGATGTTTATTCAAGATGATTTCTGAAGGTCTTTGCCTTCAGAAAAAAATGTTTTTGTTTTAATATTTGTTTAAATGATGCCAATTTGCCTTTTGTTTCTTTTTATAATTACAAAAGTTCCACATGAATATTCTTGTGAAAAGCTCGCACTTTCACATTATGCTTTTCCTCAAAGTGTGCTGCCCTTCCCAAAGATAAACAACTGTTAATGATGTGGTATGTATCTTTTTAACCTTTTAGTCCCCTTCCCTCTTCCGCTTCTCAGTCTAAAAGAGAAAACATGGAACTTTTTTTTTTTAATCATTAGAAACAAGAAGAGGGACTTCTAAAGGATAAGAAAACAGAGAGCACTGGGGACTCTCTGAGTACAGAAGAGTTGTAATAGATTGTGCTGCTCCCAGCAGCATCACCTCAGAACTCCATTGCTATAGTCTCCATGAACTGGCCACTGCCCCTCTCGTTTCTCCTCCTGCCCAACAAAAACATCAAGTATCTCCATTTGAAAAACAGATCTGCCATATACTGGCTAATGCTCTTGGCCAAAACAACCCCTTGGACTCTGTTTTCTCTTTCACATGCAGAGGCACTTGGATGGCTGGGATTCCTTTAATTCTTGAAGTGCTACGATTTTAGATATATGGACACCTGTAAGTAGTATTTATACTGAAACAACTAAGTGGTGAATCTCAAGATACTTTGGTTATTATACTTAAAAAATAAACTATTGGCCAGGCGCGGTGGCTCAAGCCTGTAATCCCAGCACTTTGGGAGGCCGAGGCGGGTGGATCACGAGGTCGAGAGATCGAGACCATCCTGGTCAACACGGTGAAACCCCGTCTCTACTAAAAAATATAAAAAATTAGCTGGGCATGGTGGTGCGTGCCTGTAATCCCAGCTACTCAGGAGGCTGAGGCAGGAGAATTGCCTGAACCCAGGAGGCGGAGGTTGCGGTGAGCCGAGATCGCGCCATTGCACTCCAGCCTGGGTAACAAGAGCGAAACTCCATCTCAAAAATAAATAAATAAATAAATAAATAAACTATTGAAGCTCTGAGTGGCTTCCTTAAGTTGGGACCCTGACTATCTTATGAATTCTGTAAATTTACCAAGCATTGCCTTCATCAATTTTTTTCACTGAGTTCTACCTAAACTTTAATCCAACCGAACATTTCATAGCATAAACTATTATCTTTATCAAAATGTTCTCTCAATGTCTCATCACCTTCTAATCATTTTCCCTTCCTGCGCATTCTCTGCCCAAAATAAATTGTTAGATTTTTGTGTCATAGCCAAAACAATCAGGGTAATGAGTAACTATGTATCACTCATCATGGGGCCTGCTAAGAGCTGCAGGAAGACTGAGCTCCTGAGTTTTTTATTACAAGGGTGTTGTCTTCATTATTTCTGGAATGTTTTCCCGTGAAAACATTGAACAGTTAAGAAACATTCTCAACTCTGCTGATAAATAGTTTTCCACTCTGTTTCTTCACTGTTCTAAAGAAGCAGAAGGTGCAGCCTTGTTTAAATAAAATGACAAGATTGATTATGCAAGCAAAGCTTATCTTCACTTTTACCTTCACAGATACTCTGGTTTTAGCAAAGTAGAATTTAAGAACAACCATTTGGTAAAGGAAAGTAATCCAGTATTTAAGTATATATATTTTTAACCTTTTGTAAAATCTGGAGCCTTTTGTTACACTCTAGAGTAGTCCTTCAAGACCTATACATAGAGAAGATGATTTTAAGATGAGAATATCCCTTGTTACTGACTCGACCATGCACATGCATTGGAATAGGGTCAATTGAGGAGACTGCAGAAATGGGAAGGAACGTGACAGTTAACGACGTGTTAGGAAGATTTGCCCACACGTTTAATGGCTGAAACTAATTCATAAATTTACTTTTTTAGGGAAGCTGAAAGTGTTGATTGTGTCCTTAAATATATACTCAAACACCGAGGCCAAAAGCACAGATAGCTCAAAGGATAGTTGACTTCATGAAGTCAGCAAGCGTGAGACAAGAAACCATCAGGTGAGTTGATTACTATGGATTTAACCTGAAACTGAACCATATCCAAAGAAAAAAAAGCATGTATGTTCAGCCCCATCCTCTCTGTTCCCCCTTTGACAACGTCTTGTGTTCCTGCAGCCTGGCTGAGCCGGGGGTGCTGCTGTTGGAAGGCACTCACAAAACAAAATGATTATGAAATAGCTTGTATGTTAGTAAAATCAAAGCCTGAGGTGGACTGCATGTTAGGCATGACCAGTGATGGGAAGGGAGGTGCACAGACCTGGCTGTACTGAGAAGCGTTGGTTGGTACCGGGATGCTTACCTTCTTCACAGAAACTGCCATAATCCGGACAGCACTTGCCATACTTCTTACATTGGGCATCACAGTCACACTCCCTCCCTCTCTCGAAGGACTCAAAGCAGCGGCCTTTACAGGAAAGCTCTTCCCAGAGCAAAACAAGAAGTTACAGATTATTCATTATGAAGCCAGGCCCGTGTGTTTGACAGCCATTTCCCACCTTAGACTTGACTAGCTTTCCAAAGTTCATTTCTAAGTCTTTTATTTGAAATTTGGAGTACATCATCCAGTAAAAATTAGATGATATGCCAGATAGAGACAGCCCAAGTCAAAAAAGAATTACGGTGACTGAGGATAACTCTTCTTGCCCTTCAAGACTCCAAGAGACATCCCGATGGTGCCTGAGTTATTTACATGTATGGACAGTGAAAAATTGGGAAATGTCTAAATAGGTACGCTTCATATGAAATCTCTTCCTCCTTTTCACATAACTGCTTTGTAATAGATTTACAGTAATTGAATGTTCAGATCTCAGCAATATATTCCACATAAATATAAATATATATATATATATGTATATATATTCCATATAAATGGGTCACTATTGAGGCTTAAAAATCTTTGTAATGCAGAGACCCTTCTTATGATGAACTGGGAAAGGTGTGTAGCTGAAAGCTTTTAGCCTAATCTTATAGTGTGGACTATATTAGGGAGGACTACTCATTTAAAAAATGAAAATTTAAAAAGCCTTGGTTACAAGTACCAGGGACTTACCAAGGTCTATTTGAAATAATTACCTATCCAATACAAAAATTATATAATATATTTCTCAGCTTTACATGAAAATTCTAAAGCAAATATACCTTTTAAATAATTTTAATTATAATTTTCTTAAATTGAATAGGAAATGTTTCTGTATTAATAACAAAATGGCCCAAATATATTCAAGTGAAACACCACTCATAATTTAAAATTCAGTCCTTCGAGTTTTAACTGAAATTCATCATTAAACACTAGCATTTTTTCTTTAAAGTGCCTTTTCCAGATAATTTAGAAATGTATTTACACGAAAAAGTCAAATAGTACACAACATTATTTCATGCTCATCTATTCTTTCGACGAAACTATTGAAAGCCCTCATTACTAGTCAAGGACATCTCTGATTGTAAATAATTACTCCTTACTATTTACTTGATGGCTACAGACTCACTGTATTTTCTCTAAAATAAGACATTTTACTTGGAACTAGTCAGTAACCTCATGCAAGTGACAGATTTCCAGGCACTCCTTACCCTCCCCAGTAATCACAAGCTTTGACACCATCCTTAGGTACAATGCGCTGCAACATTTATGCAAGTGAAGGAAAAGGCACTTAAGCAGAGGAAGTGAAACAGTGGGAAAACAGTACTGCAAGGGGTGCGGGGGGAGGCTCAGTCTCAGCACTGCCCGAAAGTGCAAGGGGGACTCACAGACTCACACTGTCGCTTGACAGAGGAGACACTCACTCTCAGGACTTACCCACAGTGCAGGCTCTCTTGAAATCGAGGCAGCAATCCAAGTAGTGTTGACAGTTAAAATCACAGCTGCAGGTGGCATCTCTAGAATACCCTTCCCCACATCTCCCTGCACAGCTTGATAAATCTAAAATTATACAATACTGGCGTAAATATGGCCAAACCGCTTTATAGAAAGGGAGCGATCTAATGATGGGGACAAAGCCACTTGGTGAGAGAGAACTGTATTGATCAAGAAGGCATTGGAATGATGTTAGCAAGAGGCCCAGCTGATATTTGGCTGCTGTCTTAGGTGATTTCGATCATGTCACTTTATTTTTCACTATACTGAGATGATAAACACACTTTTGAAAAGCAGGCAAAGTAATGGCTTTGTCTAAAGAGGGTGATATTTCTAAGGGAGAGGTGGCAGCTACAGCTACTGCTGATACTGTGGCTGTGATGATTAGTAGTTGCCATTTATTGAGCTTCTCTATGCCAAGTATTGAATCATACCTTATCTCTAATGCTTATGAAAATGTTTCTGGGATTTAGTAGCCCTTTTTTAGAGATAGGAAAGCTGAAATACAGAAATTTTGACAACTTGCTAAGTATCACACGGCTAATTAATACTTTCGGTATATTTGCATCATAGGTTAATTAATACCTCCCGATTATTTATAGTGAACTCTTTTACTCTTATAATTCTCCTAACTTATGGTCACCTTAAGTAAACAATCTATCCAGAATTTGAACTCTGATATAGCTGATTTTAAGCCTGAGATTTTTCCACCCACCACATTGCCTCCCATTCCTGATGATGAGTTTAAAGCAAGCTGATTGCAGCAGCACAAATTATACTGGGCTTTCTCTTCCTTAACTGGCGGGGATAACTGGATTTTTAAACTGTCGGGGAATCCAGATGCTAATAACCACTGCTTAAGTAAGAACCCTTAAAATAACTGGGCATAACTATAAAGGTCATGAACAGAGGTTTTCCCAGCAACAAATAAGCAAACAATAACAAAGCATACACATTCTCAAATATTTTTTAAAAGACATTTGGAAAACAACACAAAACTTTCCCTGAGAAATGACTGCAGGAATGTGACAATGGAATCCATCTCTGGAATAGAAATTGACAGGTGCAATGTCTTAAATCCACAGAGGAATGTTGAAACACACTGAAAACAAATCTTAATGGAGTCCAGGAATGACAAAGTCTGAATATGCAAACAAAACAGTAAATTGTAAGACAACTTTCAGAACTTTTTGCATACATGAATGCATAATGCATACAAAAACGCATATATAGTGTATGTATATAAATACATATATTATATATAAAGAAAAAAGGAAATGAGAAGAGGTTGAGAAAGCAAGAGAAGCAGACAAGACAGTATCAAGAGATTGTTCTTTTATAGTTGGCAGATTTCTGAAATAAGAAGTCATCTGTAATCCCAGCACTTTGGGAGGCCAAGGCGGGTGGATCACCTGAGGTCAGGTGTTCGAGGCTGGCCTGGCCAACGTGGTGAAACCCCGTCTTTACTGAAAATACAAAAATTAGCCGAGAACGTGCCACTGCACTCCAGCCTGGGAGACAGGGCAAGACCCTGTCTCAAAAATGAGAAGAAAGAAAGAAAGAAAAGAAAGAAAGAGAGAGAGACAGAAAGAAAGAGAAAGAAGAAATCTTCTTCTGTCCTACTTTTATTGCTATTAATTGTAACCATTAATTTTATTTATGTATTTTTGAGACAGAGTCTGGGTCTGTCACCCAGGCCAGAGTACAGGGGTGCGAGCTTGGCTCACTGCAACCTCCACCTCCTGATTCTCCTGCCTCAGCCTCCAAGTAGTTGGGATTACAGGCATGCGCTATCACACCTGGCTAATTTTTGTATTTTGTATAGAGACAAGGTTTTGCCATGTTGCCCAGGCTGGTCTTGAACTCCTAACCTCAGGTGATCCATCTGCCTAGGCCTCCCAAAGTGCTGGGATTACAGGTGTGAGCTACTGCACCCAGCCCCATGAATTTTAATTTCATTTATTTAATGAAGATTAAAATGAAGTAAAATTGGTTTAGTGAACAACTGATTGTATTACAGAGGAAAAGGTGGTTTAGAAAGTGTCCCCAGTGTTATGAACCTCGTCATATCATTATAAAAGGCTGAAACGTCTGGACATACTGGAGTACTCATCATTCTTTTTGAATGTCCACATTCAAAAAGAATATTGTTTTTGAATATTGTTTTGAATATTGTTTTTGAATATTCACATTTGCTTTCCTTTGTTTTCCCATCTTTTCTTATCTAAACAATTCTGCAACTTCTGCCTATGCAGGCATATTCAGGTTTCATAAGAATCTTAGTATTTTACTAGAAATGTTTATCTTAGAAATGTAATTTCATTATAACGGTCGTGAATCTTGATTTTTATTCTCTCAGAGTTTGCTTATCAAAGGAGAATAAAAGGAAAAGAAAAGGAAAGGAAAATCCAAAGCTTGGCATTGCCACTCTTAATCCATCTAGATGGCATGCTGGCATCTTTTACTAATGTGATTACATTGAATGTACTTTAACAGTCTCTAAAAATGAATAACAAAAACTGTTCATCCAGGACCTGTTTTGGGAGGGCTGTGAAAAGTTCAACATTATAATACAAAATGACAGTCACATCTGTATATGCCTGTACCTGGATGAATTGTTCTTGTAAAAAAGAGAACATTTTCAAGACTAATAAAATGCCATTTGAAATGTTGTAAAGTTTATTATAATATGGTGTCTGTGTCTAAATGATGCCAAAATAAGTCAATCAATAATTTATTTGATTTAAAAGACTAAAATATTCAAGATATAGGCAAAATTATATGCTATCTAAATACTGTGTTCTTTTTAGTTATTTTTATGATATTATATAGTTCCAGCATAATTTTATCATAAACTGTCTGCACCTTTTAATCTTTTGGGAGAACCATAGAAATAACAAGTACCAAAATTATACTTTACACAAGCTCAAAACTCTTGAAAAATGAAAAAGATGAAAATTCCAAAGCACTTATAAACATGCTACATATGTTTCATATTATTATAAAATTGTTGTAAAATTGTATGATATATTAAACTCAAGCAAATTTAACTTTTTAGAAATCTATTTCTGTCGATGTTATAATAATCAAGACTTAATGATTAGCCATAGTTGTTGAATAAAAGTATGTTTGATGGTTAAGGTACCTT